TTAATCCCGTTTAAATTTTAATCATTTCATAAAACTTTTTTTTTCTTGCCCCCAAAAATGTGTAATGTGAGGCCCTTGTACGGAAAAGTGTGGAGACCCTCGATCTAGATCTGCAGCATTTTCTATCGTCTCCGCTACAACTTCAGCTAAACTGCACAGTGTAAATATACAATGCGTGCGTGCGTGCGTGCGTGCATCTATATTTATCTCCATTCCAGAAAACACAAGCCAAGCTAGTTCAGTAAGAAAAAAAAAACATTTAATTTTAAAACATCAACATATTTGTTACAAACATTGTTTCAACTGGTCCAATTCTACAACAAATTAACCATGATTGTTAAAATTATTTACAACATTTCAGTCTCCTAGCTGATGCTTTATTAAACTCTGCTATATAAATACAGTACTTTGACAAGACAAAATAAGGGGGGTTTGTATTATTCAATAATAAATCTATTACAAAAAAGGGGGTAGAGGTGACAACTATTGACATTCTGCTATTTTGTGGTCTCATTTAAAGGAAATCACCGGAAGTCTTTATACTGCTGGCTATATGCTACAATATATACACGTTCTGCTAAAGTGTACACATCACCTCAAGCAGTACAAGGCCGCCATTTTATGACTTGAATTCCACAATTATCAGATAGGAAGGAGCAGCCTAGGAGCTATTCGCATATTGGTTTAGTCTACAAATGGCGGCCTGCATTGTCTTTAAGTAGTGAGAACACTTCAATAGATGATTAGCAATAGAATTACTGAAGCCATAAACTATTATACAAAAGTGATTCATGGAACAACGATTACTTGTGGCAGAGGTGTGACCCTGCGGGTGATGTGTTGCCTGTAAGCTTATATGAATGACTGTCCTTCATCTAAGGTGTGCGCTGGATCCAGTTACCTAATATGTGAAGAAAAAGTCCATTCTGTCCTACAATGCTGTACCGCTGACCTACGCTTCCAGATACTGGGGCTCTCTGCATCCCTAGGGGCCGGGCAGATCTGAACCACAGTACGAGCAAGGAACAAAACAACCTGAACGCTATACATATGATCCGACAACATGGTGAGTGTGAGGAAAGAATGTTTTATCAGATGGTCTGCATTGCACCACACCAACCAACCATGCACAGTCAATACTTCTCTATAAACATGAAGCAGAAGGATCAGTCCCGTCATACAGAGGTTTTCTCTGTGAGTGACAATCATTCCTTCCATTCATTGCTGTAATTTATGTCCCACCCCCAAGGTCATCCCTATACAGACTGATCCTTGATCAGAGCAGCCCAAGGCTGGCAGATTGGGGACTGTACAATATAGTTTTATATCCTTTACAGGAGGACTATAATAAAATGTTTGTGTCTGGAGTTTATCTGTAAAACCTGACCAGCACAGGGTAATGCAGACCATGTAAAACAATTCTGAACACAGACATCTTGAATAATAGGGCCAACAAGCTGACTGATGACAAGTGAACACAGACAAGTGATATTGCTGCCCCTGCAACCACATTCCTTGTCTAGTTCTCCTGGCAGAGGGTAAAAATTAAAGATGGCACCTGTCTGGCTGCTACAATCCACCATCCTGTCTCTCCTTGGCTGTGCATCTCATGATCAGCCCCGGGGTGGCCTGTTTGCTAAAATGGTATGAACTGAAAAAACAAATTAGTCTTCCAATCAGATAGTTTCATTAATGCCAAAAGAGTTATAACCGGCGTGACTGGTTTACAATCGCCTGAAAGAAGACATCCCATGGCAGCCAATCAACATCTAAGGGGAAATGACACATGGAATCTAACAGCTTGAATCTGGGAGTTTCTATTGGCCAGGCTCAAGCCCCATATTTCCTCCTAATGATCTGGCCATAGGCTACATAAAATAAAACATAATAAAAAACTTGATTTATTCCCCCATCCTAAACTGAATTCCACAACAGGTTTGAAATCTCGGTGTTTGTGCTCTAACAGGGGCATTCTATAACCGTGCTTGGAGGTTAATGGCTTCTATCCAATAAACAGTGCAAGGACACACAGTCACCACTCAGAGTTCAGCTTACTAAAAGTTGTATTTTATACAAGATGCACTCTGATTGGTTGCTATAGATGCAGCACTTTGTTGTTACTGCGCTGCTCCTTGCACGGCTGTAGTCAATGAACCCAAATTGTTCGGCCACTGTAACCAGTCAAGTATTCTCTCTAATGTCTAATCTCTCTGCAAGGAATTAGACTCAGCTACTCAGGGTAATTATTTATTATGACAGCGTGGGGAGCAAATATGATTTTGGAACTGGAGTAACCATAGCAACCACATGCTAACCGTTTACAACAGAACCGGAACTAGGTTTCGGAGCTATTGCTCCGAGTTACTGACCTTTGCTTTAAAGCCCAATTCTGGGCACAAGATAAAACACCCTTGCAGAGCCGGAGAGGAGCTTGTTAGGTCTTGAGTAGTACAAAAAAGATAATTTACCTTACCCCTCGCTCTGGCATTCTCTTCTCCCAGATGTGCTGCGCTGTGGGTGGTCCCTCTGCGTCATCACCTACAATACTGATAGTAGAAATATGTCACCAGCACACCGATCATTAGAGCAAATAAACTTCCATTTAATCTCAGAGTCTGATGAAGGGGACCCTGCGTGGCCCCGAAAGCACTTGCAAATGAGAGACAGCATATGTCAATAAATGGACGATTATTTGCTCTAATGATCGGTCTGGTGTGCTGGTGACATATATTTCTACTATCACTTGGTGGCGGCGCCATCTGCAGTCATTCCTAGCACCCGTTGGTGTATCCATATGGGAATTCCGGTAAGGAGTGCAGCAAGGATCTCCTACATCACCAAAAATACAGGGCTATTAACCCTGCACTGAACATGGAGGAAAAGAGAGTGTGTGACCACAGCCAAGACCAACCTAACAAGAGTGGCCACACAGATGCAGGGAGCTTGCCAAAGCGGGCAGTAAAGCAAGTAGTACCCCTAGACTTAAAGTGACACTAAGCTCAGGAGTTAAATCTTAAAAATGCATTCAAGTACCGAATCTTATCTGTGTATCACTCGGCTGTAGAGCCTCAAATCATCTCTGAATTGGTGCCGACACTGTCCGTCCTTCTGGGGGGTGGCTACTTTTCTTCCACATGGTCCCTGTGTGTGTTGTAAAGTAGTCACCGCTCCAAGCTCACTCCTGTGATGGACTACAATCTCAATACAAATCAGTAAACCAAACGTGAGATTGTAATCCATCACGGGAGTGAGTTTGGAGCGGTGACTACCTTACAACACACATGGACCATGTGGAAGAAAAGTAGCCACCCTCCAGAAGGACGGACAGTGTCGGCACCAATTCAGAAAAGATTTGAGGATCTACAGCCGAGTGAGACACAAATACGTTTTTGTTCATAGTTAGGGTACTTGAATTCATTTTTAAGATTTAACTCCTGAGTTTAGTGTCACTTTATCAAGCAGTTAACCCTTGCAGTGGAAGGGGGAAGGGTTTTTTTTTTCTTTCTTGTGCCCAGAGTTGGGCTTTAAGGTGTTGCAGTGGTAACCATTTCTATTCCAGCTGTTAGCCTAGTGAAAATGTGTGACCATTTGTTTCATATGTGCTACTGTGAATTTAAATAAAGTAATACTAAAAAGAGGCAAAGACGCAAATTTTTATATTCCCTACCATTGTTATATCATCTTTTCCAGTATTAAAATGGGCTGCAGACAGAGGACAAGGTTTTGGATTTTTAACAGGGGCAGTTAGGTAGTCTAATATCTCGGTTCATTAAAATAAGAAAAAAAAAGTTTCCCCAAAAGACGCAGGAAAACGACAGACAATAAAAAACTGAGAACTGTACAACCATATTCACCTCCAGTTGGTAAAAAAATAGAGATATATCACAGCTCACGAACATATACAGATCTGTCAGCAGATGGGTCAATTAAAAAAAGAAAGAAAAAAAAAAAAAAAAAGTCTACTTGGACTTCCTCCGTTTGGATTGAGTGGGACTGGCTCCAGATTCTGCAAGGAAAAGACAATGGACGGTTAACCTCTTCACTGCCAACAGGGAACAGAGCACTGGCACTTGCTGCCCCTCCAGCAGTCAAGGGGTTGAGCTGTAAAGATTAGTAGCTTTGCAGCTTACATTGGGGGGCCCTGTCACTGCTGGGGACCTTTTTTTCGGAGATGCAGAGACCGTTTTACACCCCAATGACAACGTACAGCATCCCTGCATATAAGAACCAGACAGTGTTTACTCTGTAGCATCTGCTTTGCTGAGGGAAGGTAATGCATCATCTATGGACCCCAACAGCACAGTACTGCAGTCAAGGGGTTGACACTGTATGCATTCATAGCTTTGCATTGGGGGGCCCTGTCACTGTTGGTGTCCTTTTTGGAGGATGAAGACCATTTAACATCGCAATAACGGCTTACTGCATCCCTGCGTATAAGAACCAGACAGTATTTGCTCTGTAGCATCTGCTCTGCTGAGGGAAAGTAATGCATCATCTATGGACCCCTACATCACAATACTGCACCACGGTCACATTATATTGCAATATAAGCTACTTGCAAGTCATTAGCCACATAGACTTTAAGCAAAGCAGTTCAATATATATTTCTGAATTCTATGAAATACACATAAAAGTATATAGCAATATGAAGCAGATAGCTCATGAGCTGTGACACTTAGCAGCCAATCATGATCTGCTAACATTATCCATAGAAAAATCTTCTAGTAAAAGTGTAGCCAGATCGCCGCCCCGCCAGTCACGCAGTTGAAGGTTGCTCTCTCTTTACCAGGGATAAGCCACCTCTGCACGCCAGCTGTTGTGGAACTAAAGGTCCCATAAGTAGGGATGTCCCGATACCACTTTGTTAAGACCAAGTACAAGTATTGTCCCTCATGTACTTGCCGATACATTTTCTTAAAAGGGACATGTGACTTTTTTTCTAAAACAACACAGACTGATGATTTTAGGGCAGTTTCTCACCAGGGCTAAATACGGATGTCACCGGAACTGAATACATGTCCCCACAGCAGAACACGTTCCTAAGGCAGAATAGTATTTTGTTTTGGGGACATGTATACTGAGAATACATGTCCACAAACCAGAATTCCTCTCACCAGGCTGCGTGTCGATCTCACCAGGGCGACGTGGACATCTGCAGTGGCTCTGCGGGCACTCCACCTCACCGGCGATGTTAGGACCCGGCCTCCCCCTCGTCCAGACCGGCTGACTATCTGCGCTGCTGGGCCCCCCCGACCATCAATCTACCGGCCCAGTCCTCCCCGTCAGTGTGCGGCAGGAACCCCCAGCTTCCAGCCCTGGAGCGGTAGTTCAGCCCCCGGGGCTGTCAATGGCTGTGCATGTGCTGGGTAGGAGGAGGAGATAAAGAACCGGACAGGCACTGCCATGGACAGCTATCTGCAGGTCCCCACAAGCGCGGGAACTCGGACGGCCGCTGCCGTTTGAAAATTTAAAAGGGCCGGTATCGGCCTTAAGAATCGGGGTATTTTCACAAGTACTCATGAAAATGCCTGGTATCCGACCCGATACCTATACTAGTATCGGTATCTGGAAATCCCTACCCATAAGCATTGCACAACTGACAGCCACAGGCATGACACCCAGAGATAAAGGCATGATGGGATTTGTAGGTTCACTACAGCTGGAGTATAGAGATCTCCTACCCTTGCTCTAAACTACCGCTACCAACACACAGTGCTTATGGAGGACTGAAAAGGGGGCAAAAGCGTGCATTAGAAAGGAGCTCCCAAGCACAAACATAAAAGGATAGGGCATTCTTAGTTTATATGCCAATGTACACTATATGGCCAAAAGTTTGTGGACACCTATCCAGAACACAGTGAATGGTCAGAAGCATAGGGACAACCCTCCAAACTATAGAGGTCAGGGGTTTCCAGTGAAGGGTACTGTTAAAGGATATCTAAAACCAAGAACATAAATGTAATATATAGCAGCTCACCAGTCCTTAGATGGGGTGGACGAGTTGGATTTTTTTTTAGCCCAAGTACATTTTCTGCAAGTACATAAAAAAAATCTGTTGACCCTGCCAGAAATACAATGTCATTGTCACTACATGTGAGCTAAACTGAAATCTCAAACAAACGTTATCAATTTTCTCAACTATCTTTGGAACTGCAGAACACCCCCCCTATAGATGGAGGATGTTTTCTGTAAGGCTGCTCCTCCTAAGATACAGTAAGTGAACATTATCACCCTAAGGCAAGAAATGTGTTGCTGGCCCAATCATTAGGGCAGGGCTGGACAAAATCCCAGGAGCCAGGTAGTCAATGCTTCTTAAAAATTACAGCTGGCGCCTAACGTTTGATTTGGTTTTCTCTAATTGTTATCAATGAAGCTAGCTCCTGGATTGGACGGACTGGCTCCTGAATTCCATATGAATTTGTCCACCCCTGCATTAGAGGAAATTATAGGCACAGAAGCCTTAAAAAGGAAAACCAATGCAACGTCACAGCTGGGGGCAGGTATGCTACAATATATCACATTTTTGTTTTTGGGTTTAGATACACTTTAATGCAACAGCATACAATGACATTTTAGACAAATGCACCTTCAACCTTGTGGCAACAGTTTGGGGACGGTCCTTTCCAGTTCAAGCATGACTGTGTCCCTGTGCACTAAGTCAAGTAAATCAAAACATGGTTTGTTGAGTATAGTTTGGAGGAACCAAAGTGGCCTGCACTGTCTTGTCCTAACCCCTACTCAACACCTCTGGGATGAACTGGAATGCCAATTTGAGCCAAGTCTTCCCTTTCAAATTCAACATCTGACCACTAGGGATGCACCAATACCAGTTTTTCGGTATCAAGTACCGATATCTATCATTCGGTACTGGTACTTCTGCTAGAATGGAGCCCTCTTCCTGGTCAATCAGGAAGCCGGGCGGCGTGTCATTAACTGCCGCCTGGCTTCCTGATTGCCTAGGAAGCCGGTTCCCCAGCCAATACCTTTTGCAGCTCTGGAATATTTACCTGTCGACTAGTGCGGGTTCTGTGCCGGTCCAGCCTTGCTGTCTGTACTTCTGTGTGAGGCTGTGACACTGGTTGGCTGCTCATTATGCTTCTTGTAGAAATAAGCAATGTGGTTTTGTAATATTGAGCAGCATTACGGCTTCCTGGCCAATCAGAAAGCCTAGAGGCGGCTCATTATCCTCCGCCCGGGTAACTGATTGGCCAGGAAGCTGGTCCTATGCTGTCTGGACGGCTTCCCAGCCAATCTGCATCGAGCCGTCTTCCGGGACAACCAGGAAGCCGGACGGCGAGTCAATACCTGCCGCCCGGCTTCCTAATTGGCCAGGAAGCCGGCTCCCTGTCCAAAACCGACTCCATGTTCCCTCGCGGCACTGCTGGTCAGGGGAAATCTTCCTCTGACCGTAAGTTCCGGTATCAGAGCATTTGAGCGAGTACGAGTGCTCGCACAAATACTTGGTATTGGCACGGATACTAGTACCCTTATCAGTGCAACCCTAATGCTCTTTTGGTTGAATGGGCACAAATTTCCACAGACACACCCTAAAATCTTGTGGAAAACCTTCTGAGAAGGGTGGAGACTGTAGCCACAAGGGTTCAGGAGGAGCAAATCCATATTAATGTTTTTGGAATTAGATGTCCAATAAGCTCATATAGGTGTCATGGTCAGGTGTCCACAAACTTTAGAACGTATATGTGTGTTGGAAAAGAAGTCTAAGGGCAGGGTGGCCAGGATGAAATTAGAAGCACTATCCATTGAAATTCCAAAGTTTAATGTTTCACTGTAACATACCTTTAAAGTGAAGCTCATAGTTTTGGACAACCTCATAAATATACGGACGCTTTGTAAAAGCAGATCAGGTGTCCTGAGGCTACAGTGGTAGTATACTGAGGAGCAGAGATTTAAGTTACAGTTACTGAAAGCTCTGCTGCTGTCTGTGCCTACAATGCAGAGCTGGTGTGCGTCAGATGACCCATCATGTGTGTCCCATTAACCAGAAGCACTGACGGTTGAGTTTTACATTTCAGGAACCTCATTGTAGGCCTGCTTTACATACCAATAGGCTCAAGAGAGACGAGTCCAATTGTTTGCTACGGTTAACATATCAGATTGTCTATGCCAATGCTATCCCATAAGTTCTCATTATTAAAAAAGCAAACAAACATTCAGTCTGTGTCCTCATCAATCGGCTTTGGTCCCAAGCTGGCTTTCCAATATCCCTATCCATGCCAAACGTTGCATCAGTGCCATCATTTTCAACACACAACGTTTAAAGTGGATTAATCACCATTGTATATTTGCAGTCACTAAAGGCAGAGGAGGTGCATATGCCACCTGTGCAGCTTCTTCTGCTGCATGTTAGCCCACAAAGTAGAAAAGCTGCAATATGGACAATCGATGGGAAAGTAAAAGGGGCAAAGCATTGGTGGCCTAGAAATGAGTGGGGGGCTGAACCCAGCAGTCCATCCACTGCTGATTGCTTGGACCCTTCAAGTAGAAGAACTAGACCCCAATCAGGAAACTTAACTGCTCCGAAGGCATCCTGGTAGGTCGTGGTGGTGATGTCACAGGAGACTACTGGTCCGGCCAGGTATGACAGTGTGAAAATCAGCCATAAAAGGAAGTCACCGGCGAGAGCATGTCAGAGACACATACTAGCCAGATGGCAAACTAACATGAGGGCGTCCCAAGATCCTGGGCAACAGTGATGGGCCTTAAACACTGGCCCCAAATATTCTCTTTTAACAGACCCTAAAATTTGTGGAAAGGTGACACTTGTAAGCCACAGAACGTGACAAGACCACTTTAAAGTTCTCCTCTCTCACAGTCCCTGGTAGGTCTCCAGCAGTTTCTCCACAACCATCCATCAACATAAACATGTCGACCTTGCAATACCCCGCTCAAACACATCTTGTATATCTACTGCATATCACTCGGCTGGTTTTCTTCACCTTTCACGGAATTGGATGCAATGCTGGGACGGGCCACACGCTTTCGTTGTCCGCTCTCCAAGATGTCTTGTGGCATGGGGAATTCCTCCACTCTGGAATTTCTTCGACTTGGGGGCCTGGACCTCTCCCCTGGTTCACTAAATATAGTAAGATAATAATATCAGTGAAGTTATTTAATTGAGATGCCACTAAAAAGGTGGCTTCTCTAATGAAGAGTGCATGAAAATACATTGATATTTTCTCTGGTTAATATTTACATCTGCTGCCACAGGCAATCTGCAACCTGCAGCATTTTTATAATAAGTAGCATGTAATAAAGGCAGGAGAAATGCTACAGGAGTATGGCGGTCTAAACAAGTACCAAATCGAGTTACTAGGTCAGTGGTGGTGAACCTTGGCACTCCAGCTGTGCCAAAACTACAAATCCCAAGATGCATCTGCCTCTGGGAGTTATGTCTGTGGCTGTCAGAGCCTTGCAATGCCTCATGGGACTTGTAGTTCCAAAACAGCTGGAGTGCCAAGGTTCGCCATCACTGTACTAGGTCATCCACAAGCCTCATTAATTCCTCATTAAGTACTCACCAATTCCGAATACCGATACCGGAAGTCCCATTAAGGAAGCCAGGCGGCGTGTAATGACTCGCCACCTGGCTGCCAGATTAACCAGGCGGCGTGTAAAGACTCGACAACCGGCTTTCCGATAAGCAGGGAAGCCGTCTCCATGCTCCCTGGTCACCAGGTGACCAGGGAGCATGGAGCCGGCTTTCTGGCCAATCAGGAAGCCGGGCACCGTGTAATGACTTGTTGCCCGGCTTCCTGATTGATCAAGAAGCTGGCCAATCAGGAGGCCGGGCAATGAGCCATTACATGGCCGGGAACCTGGCTCCATGCTATTTCGTCACCAGGTGACAAGGGAGGATGAAGCCGGCTTTCTGGCCAATCAGAAAGCCGGGGAGCGGGTAATGACTCGCCGTCCAGCTTCCCGATTGGCCTGATTCCCGACCAATCAGGAAGCTAGACGGCGAGTAATTTAAAACTGCCCGGCTTCCTGGTTGTGACTAAGTGAAGAGGGAGCATGGAGCCGGCTTCCTGATACCAGAAGCTCAGGTATCAGGCTAGGCACCGGAGCATTTGGACAAGTACAAGTACTCGCCAAAATACTCGGCATCGGCACTAGTGTCGCTATCGGTGCATCCCTAATTACGGGCATGACTAAAATGGTCTTCGGTAAAAAAAACTAGTAGAGCTTTCACTCACATCACCACCTTCTGATGCAAATTTGTTATTGCAAAAAGGACCAAAAAAAAACACAATGATTTCCTGTGGCAGCCACTTTATTTTATTGATCCACCTACAGTCAACTACATATAGTAAGCAACAGCTATAGAGCGATCGCGCTGCTAATTAGGGGTGATTTGGGATGGTAAGTACCCGGAATCTTATTATTTCATTGTTCTCGGATTCTTTTTGGAAACATGCATTTAAATTCAGCAATAGCAGACAAAAAAAAAGCAGCATGAACTCACCATTCCATATTCTCTTGCGTATCAGCATCTGAAAGGAGTAGGAACGTTTTTTTGTATGAGAGGATGCAGAGACATGTTGCAGGAAAACAAAACGTATATTTCTGCTTTACAAAACGAAACCACCTCCCCAACATCTTACCTCGTTTCTCTGACGCATTCTGATTGTCAGTGCTGGTCCCTTCCTCTGGCCCGGGATTCTGAGGAAAAACTATTAAAGAGAAGATAGGAAAGAGGAAAATTGAAGCCATTTATTGGTAGAACACTTTCTGCTAATACACAGGTTTCACAATAAGAAAAACAAATAGGATTTTCGTAATCGCCATAAAATCCTTTCCTTGGAGGCCATTGTGGGACATAGGAAGTATTTCTCCCTTAGGTTATACTGTGCTCAACAGCCGGTATGGGCACTGGCAAACCGAAAAACTGTAGGCCATCCCAAGATAACCCCTCCTACTATCAGACATGCCTTGATTATACAGAAAGCAGAACCAACAGCATGATCATAAAGCCCAGAGAGGTGAGAACTGTGTTCCTCAATGGACTCAAAGAAAAAGATGGGAGTACAAAAATCTTATTTCCTTTGTCATTCACTGAGGGACATAGGAAGTCTTTCACCCAACTGATGGGTGACAAAACAGATACCAACAGGCCCAGGAACACAACAGAAAGTTGGGGACTGACTGCAACTCAAGGAGCTACCTGAAGGACTTTTACGCCCAAAAATTAGTATAAGATAAGGGCGCAACATTTACTGACTGGATCACCTTAAATCCTGAGGAAAAAAAAAAACTAATGCAGCCACCACATCTAAGAACCGGTAATCTGCAATTGGGTTTAGAAATTTTGTTCCCTTTACATTATAAAATGGATACCATACCTGTTTCTAAAATCTGTTCTGGAACAGTGTCATCAAAGGTGGTGCTAATTTGCTCCGCTAACGTGCCTTCACTACTTTTTTCAGCCAATAGCATCATTGGTGGATTCGGAGACGGAAACGGTAGAAGGTCAACAGGAGTGCTGGATCGATGGACAATTGGATCCATGGACAGTGCAGAAGTGCTGTTACTCTCTGTACTGGTCTGACTTGTCATAGATGGTGACCTTCCTGGACCACCCATACTGGGACAGCCAGCTTCAGAGCTTTCCATATGGTCTTGACCCATGGAAGGTGTTGATTGGAACTTGCTTCCAGAAGTTTCCACATTACTGCCAAGTGTTGGCGACAATGTTGGCTTTACATTTACAGGTGAAGATAAGTCAGAAGCAGAGCCAAGTTGAGTGCTGAGGTCATCAGAGCTGTACTGCATTTTGGCTGGTGGTTGTGGAAGTGGGGAAGGAGACTGAGATGGTGCAAGTTGTCCAGACATTTGTACCGGGCTTGTGAGGGCTGATCTGGTTGTAGTTACATTGTTGGTGTTACTGGAAGGGGAAGTAGATGATGATGGTCCAGGGAACTGAATATTTTTGGAAATATGCAAAGGTCCAACAACTGCAACAGACTGAGGCATCATGTTAGTGTTGGAAGGCGGCATGTTATTTTGCTGTGATCCTTTCATTACTTGGATAATAGAAGAGGAATTGAAAAAAACTGGAGTGATAAATTGTTGACGTGTATTAGACTGTACAGGAGGCTGCCCTTCAGACACTATTACTTTGTTTGCAACACTGGCCATAGTGACTACGGTGGGTACCAAAGTAGGCTGCAACTGAGAAGCCATTGGGGTAGACACACTGGCCGATGGGGTTATAGGATTTGATGTTACAAAAACAGTTATCTGATTTGGTGTCATTGAAGTGGAAGCAGGTGCTGGACCACCAGACCTCTTTAAAGTGTTGCCTGGTAAGTTCAGCGGCACGTTAGTGTTATTTTCCACTGTATCAGTCCTTGGCTGGACATTGGAAGCCTCTGGAAATGGATGAGTATTAGATACACAAGCTGAATCCTTTAGACTGTCCCCAGGTAAAGAAGCAACATCCATTGTTTTTGAGTCTTCTGTAGGTAGTAGTATAGATGTTTCCAGAAGCTGGTCTGGTGGCTTGATATTAACATTCGGAGCACCAGAGTGGTCGAGCAGTTGACTCAATGATGTTGGGGCTTCTCTGATGGCTGGTGAAAGGGCAGACAGTTCTTCAGGACGTGGGAGTTTTGAACCTTCTAGGAATAGCGCTTCCTTCTTGGCTAGCTCTTCCGGGGACACCATCTTCATTTCTTGGCGAACATCTGTTTTGTGTTCTGCTACAGGGTGCTCTTTGTGGATCATCTGCATTGTTTGGTTCTCATTTTCCTGAATCAAACTTGAACTTTCCTTGATCTCCTCAGTGGTAACAGCTGTACTTGGTACAATTGGTGGAGGGTATTGTCCTATTGTGGGTGCTGCTTGAGGTAGTTGTACAGATGGTTGGCCTGCTAACAGGTTTCTCTGCATCTCCATACTATGTAACATTCCAGGGGTCTGCTGTCCACCAAGTACCATTTTAGGAGTCTTGGAGTTCTGTCTACCAGGGCTTGGTGTTGTTTTGCGACTTGATGCGGGACTTGACCGCCTACTATTGCTTGGACTTGCCCGCTTGTTACCACCAGCAGTTGGTGGCTTTCCAGCTCCATTATCCATCTTATTCAAATGTGAGACAAATGTAGACTGATTGTTCACAGTCAACCCTGGAGGAGCTTGTCCAATGGCTTTTAGAGTAGTTGGATTCAGCCCTTGCTGATCAAAACCTCGATTAAGGGTGGGCCGTGGAGGTAATGGAATATTGATCTGAGGAGGAAAAAGACCAGCAATAGAGGCGTTGAGTCTTTCTGGAGAAAGGCTAATTTCTGAAGGTTCTGTACTAGGAGGGCGATTATTGGGTGTCTGAGGGTAGTAAGGTCTAGGGCTTGCTCTGTTGGGCGTTTTCGGCCTTGAAGTCTGTGATGGAGTCTGAACATTTTGGTAATGGTGCCCATGAGAGCCACCCATTGTGTTGGAGTGCTGCTGCTGAGGGCTTGTACCTTGTGTAAGAGAAAGGGCAGAGGGGGTTCCTGGTTTAGAGCCAGCCATCATCATTGGATTTTGAGGCATAAGCATATGTGGGGCCATATTGTTTTGAGATCCAGGAGCTGTGGAAAGCTCAGGAATGTCACCAAGAGGACCAGCAGAAGGTCCATCACCCAAAGGTGAGCCTGTTTGATTTTGTCCACTCTCTGGAAATCCCATCTTCCTACCATTGCCTCCTAATGATGAATTGGACAACATTGCCATTCTCTGCTTGTCAGGTGAAGGTGTTATGGAACCAGTGTTTTGTAAGTTTACCATAGCTTGCATGCTGCCTCCTTGCTGCATGGGCATTCTCTGAGCATCTGTATTCATAGCAGCCCGGGGGTTAAAGACATTCTGTTGCAAAGGAAGCCGCACTGTTTTTTGTTCCTGCTGCTGCTGCTGCTGTTGTTGCTGTTGCATCATTAGCATCATCATCATCTGCTGAGGAGGGGTAGGCTGCTGATTCTGCCCACTTTGACCCTGTTGCTGTCCAAGCTGCATTAACTGAGGAATCTGCTGAAGTTGTCTCTGCTCAAGACCTTGAGTTGGGTAGCCTAAAATTAGATTTTAAACATTATTATAATACAAGATTTATATACCGCCAACAGTTTGTGCAGCACTTTTCAAAATAAATGGAGGCAGTACAGTTACAATACAAGAGGGTGAGGAGGGCTCTACTCGTGAGAGCTTACAATCTAAAAGGATCATTTTTATAAAATTCCATACAGGCCCCTTGGCTACCACATTATCTTTCTAGAACAAGAATTTCATGAATTTGCATTAAGCCTAGGGAGAATGCATTGATGTGCGCTGTGCTGTACTGCATTGCTTAAAATGGTGCATGTCCATTTTCTAGTTCATGGGCAGTCTTAATCTAATGCACAATAATTAATGGCATAAAACACAATGTACTGCAATGGGAAAAAAGCAGATGTTGACTGTTCTTTTCGATGCAAAAAAAAAGTCCCCAGCTTGTGCTCATAAGAGTCCTGCTTTCACCTGTCAGCCAAGTTAGAAAGCACATTGTGGCAGGTCCCAGCAGAGATGCAACTGGCAGATGTCAGTAGAATATCTACCCTTCTATGGCCAGTCTAGCACAGGGAAACTGGCAACAGAACTGGTAAACTGCAACTCATTTATGAACCAACATCAGCCAATACATAATTCCAGTGTGTTCGGGAGCTGCATGTAGCCTGATCCAGCTCACAGCCAACAGTGTGAGCTAGATCAGACTACAAGCAGCTTGTTAATTCTAGGCTTGCCCCCCTTAGTGCTTACTTCAACAAGCTGCTATTAATTCCTGCATGGAAAGCCAAGTAAATAAAATGATTTAAACTGTAACTATGGCCAGGCTATAAACATTCAAATATTTACATCATTCCTAACATGTAGTAAATGACATGAAAAGGCCATCAGTAACCTATGTAGCTGCAGGTACTGTGGGTAAATTCATCCTCAAAATTCATGGCAGAAGCATTAAAGTCATTCACTCAACAGCTCGGTTCCCCCTGCTCCCTCTTGCAAGCAGTGACTCGGCAGCCTTTTTAGCCTAAGCTCTATTGTGAATAAAGAGCAGATGCTCTGGGGGGCTGAGCTGCTGAGAGAACTTGAATGAGTTCAATAGTAGTGCTTCTGCTGTGAATGTGAGGATACATTGCTGCACAGTGTCTGCAGCTACAGAGGTAAGTGAGGGCTCGCTTAAAAGCTTATTCATTGCCTGTTAAGAATTTTTTTTATACTTTACTGTCAATAGCCTGATTAAAAGTTCACGTTAAGATTTCTTGCCGGATTGCTGTATACGTTCCAGGGTGGCTCAACAGGTCACGTAAAAATCTCAAATTTATATTTACATTTTCTATTACCCAATATTAATTAAAATAAAAAATGAAGGCACACATTGACAGTTGTAGGATTGCTGGTTCTCACCTGGTGGCCTGTTTTGGAATTCTGAAAGTTTCTGACCAGCGTCTAAGGCTCCTAATTGATCTCCTACGATTCCAGACTGATCAGACTCTTCCATACGAGATTCAGCAGCACTTTAAAGAAATAAGAAATTTACTAGTCACAGGTTTAAAGCATGGCCGTCTACAATTTCCTGAACAAGTACATTGCAGTACCCTTGGAAGCTTTGACATGAGTTAAAAAGAAAGCATACTCTTTTTATGGATATTATCTTTTTATGTACTATGTTCAGGAATAGTTTTTTAGTCAGGTAAATATTAGGCATGCACCGATAGCGGTTCTTCGGTATCGAGTACCGATATTTTTCTTCCGGTACTCGCCGATACCGGTGCCCCGATTAACAGGAAGTCGGGCGGGGCATCATGACCCGTCGCCCGGCTTCTTGCTTGCCTGCGAAGCCAGTGTTCTATTGAAAAAACACTGGCTTTACTTGCCAAGGCTGCATGGCTTCCTGACCAATCAGGAAGCCGGGAGGCGAGTCGTGACATGTCACCCAGCTTCCTGATTGGTGAGGAAGCCAGGCTGCCTATCAAACAAGTAAAGCTGGCTTCCTAACCAATCATGAAGCCGTGCGGCACGTCATGACCCGTCTCCCTGATTGGCTAGGAAGCCAGCTTTACTTGTTCCTAGGCAGCTTGGCTTCCTGACCAATCAGGAAGCCGGGAGGTGGGTCATTGGTAACAAGTGAAGCTGGCTTCCAAGCACATCAGGAAGCTGGGAGGTGGTTCATAATCCAATGCCCAGCTTCTTGAGTGGAAAGGAAGCCGGCTCCATGCTTCCTCGCCACTGCCAGTCAGATGGAGATCTCCCTCTGACCGGAAGCTCTGGTATCGGAGGATTTGGGCAAGTACGAGTAGCCGCCCAAATACTCGGTATCGGCACCGATACTAGTATCGGTGCATCCCTAGTAAATATGAAATATTGTATATAAATATTCCATTTTACTACTGGTACTCAGACTAGTTTCTGAAAGCTGGTTTGCTACTATGTTGCGAGTAGACCTGTGACTAGATCTGAATGTTACGCCAACTGTACTGAATTTCTATTTGTACAATACGAATAATGATAAAAAAAAGGGACAACAAAACCAGTTAGCATTCAAAAACTATCAAAAATGCTTAGTGATTGCCATCATCTGAAAGGCTCCACCTACATACATATAGGACAAACGTTACACGACAACAGTACAGGACACCTGTAATGAGGTAGGCTGAAACTTCTGACCTCTTAATTATAAAATCCTACTTCCCTTGGCCGCCCTGATGATCCAGTGGCTTCAGAATTTTCCAAGTAATAGACCTGATATGCAAAGTTACAAGTATGCAAACTAGGAGTTCAGACTTTCCTGACGCGCATATTTGTTTCTGGGCAGTAACCCTGAAAAGACTGAGGTCAGAATCTGCCAGGAAGCTAGCATTTCAGAAGGTCAGCAATGACAGCCTAAGTATTTCTCTCATTTCCAGGTAAGCCTGCTGCCCAGCTTTTGAAATCAATGCCCTCCTGTAGACAACTGCTGGGAAATTTCAAAGTCAGTTTAACAATGACCTCAGGAAGCAAGATAGGATTAGACCCCCTTTTATCAAACTGTCTAAAAGACAAATTGTCTGTTTTTCTGATAACAATCCGCCCAGCAAGGACGGATTGCTATGGGGCAATACTCTGCCCCATTAACGAGATTAAGCTTGTACAAAATAGGCCAGCTTTTTATCTGCAAGCTCATCATACGTGATATGCCAGCCACAATAGATTCTTCTGCTGTTACCAATAACCACTTACTTCATATGTTCCTCTCCCTGTTGGTTCTTTTTCTTCCTTGGTGGCTTCTTCTTCTTTGGCTTGGCAGCAGCAGTGTTCTGTTTGCTGTTCACACCAAAGTGACCCGCGGATATATCACTCTGAAGAAGGTTTACCAGTAGAGGGCTGGTCAAAGTGACATCTTTGTTAACAGGGAAGGATTGATTTTGTCCACAAGCCAACTGGTTTCCACTGCCACCTTGACCAAACGGAGAATTGAAAGGGAGGCCATGTCCTGCAAAGTGTTGTCCAGGTCCGTTATTCCCTGGCATGTTTTGTAGGTGTTGAGCATGTTGTGAAGCCATATTGCCTGTTTGCTGCATGGGTAAATCTGGCAAAAGGGTCCCCAAGTCACCAGTGGCTTGAGCAGAGCTTTCTGCATGGGTCTGCTGAAGATGCTGTCCTGGTCCAGCTTGTCGGAGCACCTGATTCTGTATGTTAACACCCTGTGAAGGATTACCACCCACCGTCCCCTGCTGGGAAATACCCTGCCCTGAGAACTGTACCATGTTGTTAGGCATACCAGGAGCTGGTCCCCTTATTATCTGACTAGGTCCTGCCATGACACCTGCTGAATTTTGAGTGTTGAATCCCTGCTTATTTCCCTGCATTATCTGCTCCATTACAGGATTCTGCTGCATCATAGCCTGATTCTGGGCTGTCATCATCTGACTGTGAGAAGGCATCATTTGCTTCGGGGGTGTCATCCTCTGAGGTGGCTGACCCAGATTTTGAGATCCTGCCAACATCTGTCCCTGTGACATGAGCTGCGTTCTTGAAAGTACCAGCTGACCCTGGGTATTCAGAGAAGCCTGTCCTTGAAGGTTAACCATCTGTGCTTGGGAGGAAATTATTTGTTGATGCATGCCAAGCATCTGGGACTGTGGTCCTTGCTGGGCCTGACTATGCATGCCACCAATATTAACTTGACTCACACCACTGCCGCTAGTTTGCAGGTTATTCAGATTGTTATGAAGTCCAATTAGATTAGTCTGCATCACATTGGTACCTCCATGGGACCCTTGCAGCTGACCATGGGATGATCCATTAGCCTGACCACCTACAAGTCAAGCAAATTGTTAGTGTTACTCATGAAACTTTACTGTATGCACAATAAACAACTACAAAATGCAGAGTGTGTCCTACATTATTAGAAACAGTAATCCTTAGCTGAACCAGAACCATCACTTTTTTTTTGGATGCTCCAGGAAAAATAATATCATTTTACAGACACATGCCCATGTATTCTGAATCCACCTGTCACAAACAAAAGATACACGAGCAGAGGTTAACTTCAGTAGAAGTCAAGCTTGGCCAGCCCTCTCCCCCCTCTTCAATAGTCAGTGAGGCAGTCAAGTAGTGATGGGCCTGGGCTTGGTGCGAACCTATATCGCTGAAGCACACTCAAAACTGACCTCCACACCCCCCTCCTGGACCAATCAGCGGTGGCAGTTGAGGCGGGGGGCATTCCCTGCCCTTTTGTGTCATATAGCTGCAGGGTAGGAAATGTTACTGTCGAAATTGATTGGTCCATGAGTTGGTGTGTTACAGTCACAGTTTGAAAGGATTTCGGCGAACTGGGTTTGCACCAAGCCCAGGCTCATCAATAACGGCCGTGTACTCCCATAGAGAAGGACAGGGCCTGCGTACTAATAACACGCAGCACCTGTCCTTCCCGGGAGCTGCCCGATGCGGCCGTGCACGGAGCTGTATGTGGCGGCCGTTTCTCGTGTGAATGAGGCCTTCAGGTCATCCTTCCTACTATTGATTTGAAAAAAAAAAAAAGTAAAAATAGGACTAATCCACAACGCATAAGCTGTTTGACTCGGTAACCAATCATCTATTTCTTAAAATTCCTGTAGTGGATAGCAATAAGTCATACCTGCTCCCTGTCCAGCGGCGGTTACTTGCTGCTGAGCTGTGGCACCATTAGTAGGTGACCCTGCTGTGCTGGGTGGGGTCTGTCCCTGCAGAAAATTGGCATTTGTTTGCCCTGCGGTAAAAACAGGCGGCAGCCGCTTAGGAACACCTGAGTGAAGGAAGAACTCTTTGTATAAATGGAATTAATATTTTACAAATTTACACAACTAGCTCTTAGAGGAATATGCAGGCTGGTAAACTCCTGAAAATGATAGTTGCCTAGCTGTGATGCACTGGCTTTAAAACCCCAATGTCGGTGACCTGGAATAATAATTATGCAGACCAGGAGATTAATTTTACTTGCTGCATGCTTATTCTAGGTTACCGATTTCAATATTACAGAACAAAACACAGTCAGACAGCTGCCTTTTTAAACAAGGTTAGCCTACATATTTCTCTCAGTACCAATTCCTGTTAACAGTTTCTCTCCAAAGACAGTAAGGGCCCTGTCACACCATCAAGAGTGTGTTCCACCTCTCGAACGCAACCCAGCCGGCTCACTTTGTTTTGGGGCAGGAGGGGGAGTGGCGGTGCATTGAACTCATTGGCATGCCCGCATGCATTATTGTTTGCAGATCGCACTGAACCGGAACGCAGGCACTAATGTGTCACACGTTTGGGTGCCGGCGATCACACCGCGGGCGGGGGAAGTGGCTATGGTACCATTGAGTTCAATGCACTGCCACACCCCCCTCCCACTCCAAAACAAAGTGAGCTGGCTGGGTTGCGTTCCAGTGGCCTAACGCACTGGAACTCTTGATGGTGTGACTGGGTCCATAAAAGCTGTTATATGACATCTGCAAGTTTAATTTGGTTTATTAGGAGTAACTCCCCCCGAGGCAATTCTGCTGAAAAGAAAAACCAATAAAGTTGGTATGCACATGTCGAACTTCAACCGGTTCCTAATGAACCGGATGAAAGTCGCACCGTTGGTCCCGCTGTCGTTCTGTGCGATTGCTCACACTGAGAACATCTCTCATTAGCCTGACCATTTTGAAAATCAGTTTTTCGGCCGTTTTATTGGCCATTCCGCAATCAGTTTTGTAACCAGACAAATCTTTGTCATAGCCTTGATACATTTGGGAAGATTAAACAAATATCAAATGAACAAGAACAACAAGAGTGCATATTAGAAGTAAAATCTACCACTGACAACAGATTCATTGGGATATGGGCCAAAATTATTTCTTTAGAAAATCATTTGAGAAATTTTGATCAGTACAATCTTTAACATTTAAGTCCAGTAAAATATATCTACTACTCTTCTAAGCCCAATTGACTTAAAATTATTTTACCGATTACCCTGAAATCACAGGAGAGGTTTAATGTGATCGCAGTATTTGCTGGTTTATGTGTGTTTGCTTGAATATGATCATTTTGCAAATGAATCATCATTGATCCTTCCCCAGCCTACAGCTGGCCATAGACAGCTCGAAATTTGACCTATTCCTGCTGAATCAGCCAAAATATTGGAACCATGAGTGGACCTGTCAGCACCACCCGGCTTGACATGCTATTACAAATTGAAGTAGCTGGGAGGAAAATTGTTAGCCGATCAGTGACTGCGTCCTTTCATATGTAGTCACTGTTTGGGTTATTGGGTATTTAGGTTGTCTGAATTCAATATCCGGCAAGAGAAATCTAGCCATGTATGGCTAGCTTAAAGTAGTATTAAACGCTCAAAACGTTTTTCAATAATGAATCCATTGCCCAGCAAATCTTTGCTTTACATTTTTGCCCAAGCACTTACAATCATCATGTTTCTGAACAGCTGCTTTCAAGTCTCATCTCAGCTTCTGTCAGAAACCACCTGCTACTGCGCATGTGCAGGGTCCAGTTTTCCGTACTGCTTGTAAAAGGGGAACTTGCGCACATCTATGCGCCACAGATCGGCCGCGCAAAAGCGCGCCAAACGGCGCACAGGAAGTGATGCTGCTTCCTGATGGATTTGCCTATTTAAAGCCAGCCTACCTGACTCCAAGTTGCTGGATTGTCTTCAGCTTCCCCTGTGTTCCTTGTGCTTCCTATTACCTTGCTGACTTTGACCCGGATTATCCTTGACCTTGTTGATTGCTACCTGACCCTGACCTCCTGCTTGTTCACTGGACCTGCCTCTGTCTCCTGCCTTTGTACCTCGCTGCCCGACTAGATTGACCCCTGGGCTTGTTTGATCTCGATCTTGGATCCTGCTCTGCACTCCGCTGAATACCTGGTTTTGACTACACAGCTCAGCTTGCCGGAACTCCAGCTTGCATGGTGTGATCACCTCTGGCACCTGTGCCAATCACTGTCCACTCTGACTCTTTTCCCAACTCTAGGGTCCTTGGGACATGAGGTGCAAGGGAAGCCTCCTCCCTACATTCAGTCTCCACCCAGGTAGGTGACAGCTTCCCTGAACTTCCTGTCCAGTACAAGATCACAAAGGACAGTGCAAACTCCAGCAACTGTTCATCTACAAGCTTGGAGAAGGGAACAGAGGGGGCCGGGAAAGGGATTGCTGGATTTACTGTGTCGACACACACAGCTTACTAGCACACACAAGGGTGACTGCATAGCACTCTGCTTGACAAAGGGGCTCATTCTAAAACAGGAAGTCAGGACCAGTGCTCAGGGGAGCAGCCGATTCTGCAGGAAACAAACTTTTAAACATCAAGAAGCAGCATCCATTGTAAGTTATTTCATCAGCATTTGAAATAGCTTAAAATGCTTTTGACTTTAATATCACTTTAAGAGTATTTCCACTTATGCCGCCAAATTGGGATTACACCCATTTTATATTTTTACATGTTCCCATTCACATAGCAGAACTTAAAGTAATTATATAAAAATGGTTGCTTACCATTTTACCTGCTCTTTTCTAAGAACATTAAAACTGAAGTTTTTCATTCTCTGTAATTTCAAGGACGGAGCTGGGGAGTTAGTGTTTACCATAAATGGACCCATGCTGGCATATCCCAATCTTAATGGAAACTAGCTTTAAAAAACAACTGTCCTAACAAAGGGTTAAAGATGTAGAAGCTTGCTTCTGCATTGTATGTTAATGAGGGGAAACTCTGTGTACCATCACTCTGTCTGGGGACAGACTAGCTTTAAAAATGTTCAGAGTAGCTTGCAGTCTGCTCTAAGGCCTGCTCCAAAGAAACATCTAAAAAGATAAGACATTTTTGTTTAAAATTATTTTTAGGTATACTGTTTGAATGGGAACACAAACATATAGTGAGGTTTTCCCAAATTTGACAGCAAAAGTGGAGATGCACTTTAGGTTTTTCAGTATTATTACTGATATCTGCCCAACATCCAATAAAAAAAAAAGGCATTTTTACAGCCATCAACTGCTAGATTTACAGCCATCAAGACAGCATGCTCTTTATAAATCAGACAGCTTTGTACAACATACCTGCATGAATACCCTGTGGACCCTGATTCAGCTGCATCATAAAGTTGCCTGCCGTGCTCCCCTGTGGCATCACACTGCTGCGCCCCGGAGAGCTGACAGTCTGTTGTTGGAAACCCTGAGGCAGTGAATTGCCCTGTCCCGGTCGTGGTCCCATGGCCTGTGGCTGGGTTTGGTTCACTGTGGGGGAGGATGCTGGCGAGCTCTGCTGGAAGGAAGGAGATGAGGCCGGAGATTTTGACAGATGGGGTTGCTGCAATGGAGTCAACACCCTCGGGGGTCCCCCCTGCATTGGTTTCATTGAAGGCGAGCTGAACTGGTTTGAGTTGGCCATAGATGGGAAATTGGAGTGAACTTGGGATGCCTGCTGGCTGCCAAATGGGTAAGGAGGGGGAGGGTGGGACGGTGTCTGCACTGCTGATAGAGATGGTCTCTGTTGGAATTGCTGCTGTTGCTGTAATTGCCCTCCTGCACCCAATAAAGATTTTTTCCACTGCTGATTGGGTGCAACAGCTCCCATATTTCCTTGAGCCGGTGGAGGCTGCAAGGCTCCTGACGCGAGCTGATTCCAGCCCGGAGGGACGGGAACTTGAGTAGGAGCCGCAAAAGAAGGACGGATGCCTTGAGTAACTTGCTGATGTTGCGGCAGGCGAGCCTGTTGCTGAAACTGCTGAAAGGTGGCTGCGTTGGCTGGTCTGTTGCCCACAACTGCCTGCATTGGGTGGAGCTGAGGAGTCATGGAACCAGATGGATGGTTCTGCTGCTGGACAGTCAAACCAGACACGAGGGGATCCATGGCATCTAAAAAAAGAAACACTTTATGAGCCATTGATACAGTTTTTTTTTCCAACTGTAAAACATCCAAGCCTACAAGGTGCAAACCTTGGTATTCTCTACTAAACATTTATAGGAACAGGTCAGGGTAAACAAATTCAGCAATATCAGCTTCCAAAAAAAAAAAAAATCCTGATAGGTTCTCTTGAAAGGAACTCCTGGCACAACTTTCATTTATGTGTTTTTCAATAGCCACAAAGGATATAAATCAACTTTCTGTGCGCCAGATCCTTTTACAAACCCAGATTACCTTTTAAAAAATTAGCAGTGACATCATCACTGGGCTACGAATAGCCTGTACAGAAAGCAGAGTTGCAGGGGGGACCCAGCAGGCTACTCACTACAGTTTGAATTCAGAAACCTAGGAGGGGGGCGCAGATACAAGACCAGTCATCCTACACAAAGTGAGAGCACAGCAGTGCCTGGTCTTTATAACAGGAAGCTCCTGCGCAGAAGCAACCTGCAGCTGTTTATGCTGGATTACTGCACAGATCTGGGAGAAATATACAAAAAGGACAACAAGATTCAAGTGAGAATATACTTGCCTCTTGTATATGGATAATGATTATTTAGCTTGGATTCCAGTTTTAATAGAACAACTATAGAAAAAAAACAAGAAAACCTTCATAACCAACTTCATGCTGTCTATCTTCACTGCCCTCTTCCACTGCAGCAAGATATAAATAGACAGGTACACTTTAGGCTAACTAGAAATCTTTACAACACCTTGCTGTGAAGAGGGCCTTGGAGTCCTTGGTTGGAGGAGTTCAGCGCTGCCACCTGCAGCCATCATAGACGATGAAACATGGGGACCCTGGGACATCATGGTGCCTGCTGCAGCAGGGTTATTCATCCTGATGAGGCCTGGATGATAACAGAATAGTCAAATCAACCTTATCAATGGAGAAAAAAAATAAATACCGAATTACTAAATCAGCCGCACCGCATACCTGCTCTGCCCTGAACCGCAAAAGCCGGGTCAATTCTCATTGCATTACTTGCTGCCATTGGTCCATTCATTCTAACCTCCTGTGCAGGGGTTTGAACTAATGCAATATTTATCGCCCCTTCTCCTGGAAAATTTCGGAAGAAAACAAATTCAATTTCATTGCAGGTAATGACAGGAAGTAAATGTCGAAAAACGTAAACCTAAACAACAAACTTCTCTTATTTGCTCCTTTATGGTCTGTTAAAAATGCCATTAAATGCATTCTGTTATATCTGTTCGAGAAGCACAAAAAAAATACCTGTGGATCCTGTCAAAAATCTTGCCAGCTTTTAACTTCTCTTGGTGAGCCAACAACATAGAGCCTTCTCTTCTGCACTGACATCTCTGAGTCTTATCTCTGCCCAGGTTACAAAATGACTTATGTAGCTCAGGGGGCTCTACAAGTATTGCATAGGATCCGAAAATTAAACTAAGGCTTCAAAGTATTTCTGCTCCACCAAGTCAGTACAAGTTCACTTTAAACTTTCTCAGATAGAACAGGGAAGGGTTAGATCCTCTGCCAGGATATTATTTCTGTCTGATTACTTATTGGAGAGATTTCCCCTTACTTTCTGCCAGGACATGGAGTGATGGGATATCTCTCCAATAGGTGTATGTTGTACATAGCTATATGATGTGATAGCAATCAAGGCAATAATCCGTTTTTCACTTGAAATTCTATTGGAGTGCGAGTGACTTTATACATACACCTATCTTGGATTGCAGAGGCATCTGCAGTCACTTTGGCACCCACCCGACTCTAAGGGTATTATCCGGTCAGGAGTGCGATGGGTACACTGGATTTTAATCTCTCTCCCAGGGACAGAGCAAACACTGTTTTAAAGTGACGCTAAATTCAGTGAACATTCAAGTCCCTTAACTATTAACAAAAATGTATCTTCTTTGTGTATCACTCGGCTGTAGATCCTCAAACCATCTCTGAATAGGTGCTGACACTGTCCTTCCTTCTGGAGTGGCTACTTTTGTTCCCCATGGTCCCCGTGTGTGGTGAAGTAGCCACCACTCCAAGCTCACTCCCCTGATGGACTACAATCTCAATACAAATTAGTAAACTAAACGTGAGATTGTAGTCCATTGTGGCTTGGAGCGGTGGCTACTTTACAACACACACGGGGACCATGGGGAACAAAAGTAGCCACCCTCCAGAAGGAAGCACAGTGTCAGCCCCAATTCAGAGATAATTTGAGGCTCTACAGCTGAGTGGTACACAAAGAAGATACATTTTTGTTAATAGTTAAGGTACTTAAATGTATTTTTAAGATTTAACTCCTGAATTTAGTGTCACTTTAATAGAATAATGATAGGTTAAAACGTTTGATGTTTTTATTGCTGCCTGTGCCTTCCTGTTCTGGTGACAACTGCTTTAGTATTCCTAGTCCTGGTGTCACAAAAACAGGGCATGAGGGACAGTCTCCTCAAAGGGTTCATAGATGATTAAAAAAATGGCTTGGGTTAGTCTTTAAGCTTAGCAATACTTTTAATAAATGAAAGCTAAACTCCAGGCAGATAAAAAAAATAAAAAAAGGTACAAGTCAATGCAGCTCTGCATTCAGTAAAGTGGAACTAATATCCTAAAATAAATGTAAACAAAATGTGAAGAGGTAGTTTTAGTTTTTAGCAGAAGAAACATGCTCTGTCTTTTCTATAAAAAAAATGGAAAAGGGCAACCTCGTGGATAAGTGTGCCATAATGTGCAAAGTCCATCCCCACCCAGGACACATCAGTTCTGCTTTGGTACATCATTAAATGTTTTGAACATGCAAGAAGTGCAATTGTAAAAAGTTGACCTGGTATTGGCCTTGGATTGCACTGTACGGCAGAGCTCAGACTGGGAGAAAGAAGCAGGACAAGGAGACAACCAGTGGTGCTTATGTGCTAATAAGGGCTCATTCAGATGGGCGCGCATGTCTGTACAGCGTGCAGCTCGTAAAATCACTTGATTCCGGAAAGGGACAGGTGCTGCGTGTAATTGAGCTGCTTGTTCTTCCCCATGAATGAGCCTTAAGGGGCATGCCAATAGGAAAGAGCAAAGAGATTAACTCAGTCAGTTGTTCCTCTTTTCACCAAGTCACAGGCTTGGGAGGGACAAGACCTGAAAGTGTTACATAACTGTAGCAGAGGCAAATCAGGTCTCCTTCCCTGCCAGACAGACCTGTGTTATGTGGCTGAGCTGTGTAAATCTCAGAACTGGGTGCACAGAAGTACAAAATCCTTTGGCAGGTAAAACTGATCCCATATAAATATACAGTGGGGCAAAAAAGTATTTAGTCAGCCACCAATTGTGCAAGTTCTCCCACTTACTGTTTTAATGCATTGACAGCAAGATAATGAAACATTGCTGTCCGTGAACATTCATCATATTCCAACCTTCTATCTGGACAGACAGAATTCCCAGATCCCGCAGCTGCTGGTTGTTGCCTTGGGCAAGAAGACGTAGGCGCTCTGCAGCTTCCCTTGGGATGTTGAATGTGACCCGGACACTGTTCCATGGTTCCACCTTTTGCAACTTCAGCCGGTTACACTCTATAGAAGCAAGATAGAAAATATGAAATATCTCGCTGAACTAACCATTTCTGAGAAACCTGGGCCTTCTCATAGTTCTTATGCAGGCCTGAGATGCTAAATACATCCAACAGTCCAAGCCACATAAACAACAAGATAGGAGTAACCTTGAGCAGCTATACAAATTCCACACAACAGGCAAAGCTATGTCATTTTTTTTCTACCTTATTCGCAGTTTTAGTCAAGACAAGATTAAGAATTCCTAGTCTACCTATTGTATTGACTTACATTTTTCATAATATAGAGTGTGTATATATATATATATATATATATACACACACATTACAATGGCTGGCCAGGAAGCTGCTCGTCGGGCTCCACCGTCCACTCGTCACAGA